AACACACACACACACACACACACACACACACACACACACACACACACACCACCACACACACACACACAAACACACACACACACCACACACACACACACAAAACACACACACGACACGCAGATCCTCCATTGAGTCCTGGGTAAATTGGTCTATTACAGCTACGGCGTAATGTATCGTTTTTCATCACGTCCTGCATCACCATGTAACTTCATTTCACTCTAAAAGGTAACCAGCGTTTCAATTGGCTTTCCAACGAGGAGCTAAAAGCATTGCATTATCAGCTTTAGTCACCACGCTCTTTATCCATCTAGGAGGATAGTTAATATGAAAACATCGTGAATATAAAGGTGGACGGGATTCAGCAGGTGAGTTGAAAACAGGGGCTGGAAATAGAAGCAATTTAATAGTTAATTTAATAGTGAAAATAAGCAGAACATGGTCAAAGGAATCTGTTTTTGAAACTCAGCTTTTGCACGTACTGCACAGGATTTCCAATTCATAATATTACTGTGTTCAAGCTTTACAAATGCTTTCTGTTTAATATCTGGAATATCTTTGTGCGTTGGACTCACAAATCAAGACATTGAAGAACATCACAGGAATCGATGCACCTTTTGTTTTGTTTTAGTTAATACACAGCAAATTACAAAATGAGTCCCACTCTCGTTTTCACTGTAAACATGCCATTTAAAACGTCTTCCTTTAGTGCATCCAGCACGCACATGACCGTGCACGTTCTCTCTCTGTAGGCATCGCTCTTCTCTCATTTCAGAGGTCAACAAGTGTGTTGTTGCAAAACGGGAATGAAAATACAAGCAATTTAATAGAAAAAGGAAGAAAAACAGGAAAAACTCATCTGTTTTTTGAAGCTCTCAGCTTTTGCACGTACTGCAGTATTCCTAGTATTTAAATTAAGAGTAATATTACCAAAAAGCTGCTGTGTTCAATCTTCTCAAATGCTTTCTGTTTTACATCAAATGAAATGGAATTTCTTTTAAAACATAATCCAGTCACAAAACAGCAAATTATAAAATGAGTCCCACTCTCGTTTTCACTGTAAACATGTCATTTAAAACGTCTTCCAGTGCTTCTCAAAGTGTGGTCCGCGGACCGAGCGCCCCCTAGTGGTCCGTGAGTATATTGGTAACATTTCACATTTTTAATTAATTAATTAAAGTTTTCCACACTCTCGCGGGAATATCTCCGCAATGGAACGAGCTTAAGTTTCACTTTCGATTGCATGATATAGCCCAGATAAACACCTTAATCCCACATTGCCACTTGTTTAAACAATTTTCAGGCGATTTGTAAAAAACGATGTGTTTTTGGATATTTGTGGAGTTAGGTGGTCCGCGAGTGTTTTTGTATTGGTTAAGTGGTCCTTGGTATGAAAAAGTTTGAGAAACACTGCTCTAGTGCATCCACAACGTGCACGTTCTCTCTCTGTAGGCATCGCTCTTCTCTCATTTCAGAGGTCCACAAGTGTGTTGTTGCAAAACGGGAATGAACATACAAGCAATTTAATAGAAAAAGGAAGAAAAACATATTTAAAAAACAGTTTTTTCAAGGGCGTGCTTTCAGCTTTTGCACTCACTGCACATTATTCAGAGTATTAGATGAGTTCTCAGATGCTGCTCAGAACTCAACGGCTCAGGAGGTAGAAACATCTTCAGAGAGGAAAGGTCTCAACGAACAGAAACTTCATCTGAGCAAATTGGGAGGAGAAAAAGTGCTTTTGGTGCAAAAACCCGTAGCATTTGATCCACTTGTTGGAAAACACTTAGAGCATTTCAGTTAAGCATGAGTATCATATCAAATTACACTAAGTGTTACCAAAAATCTTTAGTTTGAGTTTTTGTATGGGAGCCGTTCACATTAAACCCTGGAAACATGCCAGCAGTGGCCAAAGCCACAAGTCGCCCTTTTTGAAACCATACATGCTCACGTCCGATGCATTTCCCCCTACTCTTTCAGTCTGTGGCTAAAAGTATCCTTTTATCGTCCCGTGTTTTTACATGGGTTGTGTATTGTTTTGTTTTTTTATCAATATGTTTATTGATTTTCAGCTTACAAAAAATCACATACATAGGACGAGGACATAGATCCAAAAGCAATACATATATACACTTTACTTTACATTAAAGAAAAAATAACAACACTAAATTAAATTGGTACCACAAGGGCACTCTAATACAGTGATTCTCAAATGGGGGTACGCGGACCCCTAGGGGTACGTTGCGGTACTGCAGGGGGTACGTGAGATTTAAAAAATTTAAAAAAAGTTAATTTAAAAAATACCATGCATGATTACAAAAAATAATATTAGTACAATAAGTTAAATAGAAAACACAATTTTATATAAAATATTCCTAGAACCACCTCATCTAAACATGTCAAATGTGTGTATTGTATAGTTTTGCATCATTTTGTTCATTGGTTTGTTAAACTTCAATTGAAAAACTCTGTTTACATTTTTTTTCGTTATGTTATTATTTTTCATGCATAAAATGAAAATATCCTTAGTTTGTTGTAATGCATGAAGGAGTAAATAAATCACACACTGAGGGAACATCACTAGATTGGAATTATTTGTATAGGGTTTTTCGATCAAAAATGTTCGGGGTCGGTCAGGGGGTACTTGGCTGAGAAAATGTTTCAAAGGGGGAACATTAAAAAAGTTTGAGAAGCACTGATCTAATGCATCGCAACCATCCAGTTCTCCAGCAATAGGACCGTATTTCTACAGAGGATATCAGTCATTTATATTTTAACATATTATAGCATATTATAGCATTATCGCATTATCCTGCCCCAGGTTCGTTCAGAAATTGAGATAGGTCGTTGTCGTGTTGTGTATTGTTCTGTATTTTGTGTTAAATGTGTGAAACTCAATAAGGAGTATTTATTGAACTGAAAAAAGAAAAACGTTGGATTGGGTTTTCCCTCCTGAACTCACCCAGTATGGCGAGCACCGTGTTGTCCTTCAGCACCTCCATGGACCCGGAGCAGACGAAGTAGATGGCCTGCAGGGCGTCCCCCTGGCGGATGAGGAACTCCCCCGGGGCGCAGAAGGAGGTCCGGATGATGAGGGAGAGCGAGCGCAGACACCCCCTGCTGGCCGACTCGAACAGAGGCAGCTGCAGCAGCTCCTTGTTCAGGTGCATCGCGATGTCCGCACGCAGCTCGTCAGGGAAGTCCTTCAGCAGCTGGGAACAGAGAGAGGGGGGGGGGGGGTCAAATCATCATATCATCATTTAAAGGTCCCCTATTATACTGTTTTCATCAATATGTTATAGGTCTCAGATCAACCCGGTCTCACAGTCTGCGTACAAATGACACGACTTTGCAAAGGCGTGCAATAGATACGCAGAAGTCCGATTTTGCGTGCATATGATGCGCTGATATTACACCTCAAACATTAAACAAAGCCTGTGGCTTCAGGCTGGATCGCCGTTCCAATGACAGTTGTAATGTTTGCGGTGCAATAAACGACACAGCAGCTTATTGGTTAGGGTTAGGGTTAGGGTTAGGGTTAGGGTTAGGGTTAAATAAATGGCAAAGATATGTAGAAAAAAAACGTATTTGACATACGTTCATAACAAACGTAACGTGGGAGTATCATATGCACGCAAAATCGGACTTCTGCGTATCTATTGCACGCCTTTGCAAAGTCGTGTCATTTGTACAGAGACTGAAGAGAGTGGGCTGCTCAGATATATACAGAACATGTCTCTGAAGTGTTTGGCTCCAAACACCAAACAGATCATTGCAGCATTACCCATAACCCCCTCTGTTTCAGCCTATGGTGGGAATTGACAGTGATGTATAGGTTTCCTGGCTACAACATGTTCTCAGACAGAAGGGTGTCGCCCTGACCATTGTAAGGCAATTATCATTGGATGTTAGGGTTTGTAATTAACATGCTGCGCTCCCCCTTCTGTCTGCCCCCCCACCCAATTTAGGACTGTAATGTGGATTGCCCACATGTGTCTCATCTGTTTAAATGACATTGCTTTTCTGTGTAACGGGGTCAGATCTAGGTGCTATCTACTAGTGCAGGACCTCTGTCCTTTCCAGCTAGAAATATGATTGATGCTGTTAAATGCTATAACTCTTTATTAAATAACACGACTTTGGTTTAAGCTTGTATATTTGTTCTTTTCTTACCAGAAGGTGATTAAGTGTGGAATTTCCACCACACAGCCCTGTTTCCAAAGAGCTGATTCTCTGTCTGTTACTTTAGATGAAAACAAGGAGCCCCTCCCCACGCCCCTCTGAGAGAGATCTGGTTACAAAGAACTCAATGGTGCTCTAGGAGGACATTCAGGTGATAAGGGGGGGGGGGGTTACCTTGGTTGCTGATTGGCTAATGGCTACACAAGACTAAACATCGTTATGACATCATCAAGTGGCCAAAATCTGATCAGCTCATTTTCAGACAGGTTTTTATAGAAATGGATCAAAAAGAGAGAGAATCTTTGTTCCTGAAACTTTCAGAGTCTCTTTCCACAGAGGGGACAACATGTAGATGAAGAAGAGACATGAAGAAGAGGGGACACATGTTGATGTAGAAGAGACATGAAGAAGAGGGGACACATGTTGATGTAGAAGAGACATGAAGAAGGGGGACACATGTTGATGTAGAGACATGAAGAAGAGGGGACACATGTTGATGTAGAAGAGACATGAAGAAGAGGGGACACATGTTGATGTAGAAGAGACATGAAGAAGAGGGACACATGTTGATGTAGAAGAGACATGAAGAAGAGGGGACACATGTTGATGTAGAGGAGACATGAAGAAGAGGGGACACATGTTGATGTAGAAGAGACATGAAGAAGAGGGGACACATGTTGATGTAGAAGAGACATGAAGAAGAGGGACACATGTTGAAGTAGAAGAGACATGAAGAAGAGGGGACACATGTTGATGTAGAAGACATGAAGAAGAGGGGACACATGTTGATGTAGAAGAGACATGAAGAAGAGGTACACATGTTGATGTAGAAGAGACATGAAGAAGAGGGGACACATGTTGATGTAGAAGAGACATGAAGAAGAGGGGACACATGTTGATGTAGAGGAGACATGAAGAAGAGGGGACACATGTTGATGTAGAAGAGACATGAAGAAGAGGGGACACATGTTGATGTAGAAGAGACATGAAGAAGAGGGTACACATGTTGATGTAGAAGAGACATGAAGAAGAGGGGACACATGTTGATGTAGAAGAGACATGAAGAAGAGGGGACACATGTTGATGTAGAGGAGACATGAAGAAGAGGGGACACATGTTGATGTAGAAGAGACATGAAGAAGAGGGGACACATGTTGATGTAGAAGAGACATGGAGAAGTGGATTTTGCATAATAGGTGACTTTTAAAACATACAGTCATATTGCCTTTTACACTGTTGAATTGTATTTGTAGGACGAGTTGTTTCCTTTCATGAATATATAGAGAGACGGTAAGTATAACTTCTTTATCCTCTGAGGATGAAGCTGCTCTGTTCCTGCATTTGAGATCGATTTCACTCGTATTTTGAATTTCCTTATTACGTTATTAAATATAACAAAAGACAACTTTGTCCATTCATAATTTATCTGTTTCTCTTAAGAATTTCCTCCACATTCGTCACTGTGCAGTATTTTAATTAATTATGTGACCGTCTATGTTTCCTGTAGTTATTTAATTGCTGTTTTTACTCCACTGTTAGTGTACAGTTGTATTATTATGCTGCTGTGTTATATGTGTTATTGTATTTTTGTAACTCTGGCACAACAATGTCCTTCGTGATCAATACAGTCTTATCTCTCTTCATACTTTACAGGTGGTCTTATTTTAGATTCACAGAGCTTTAACTAAACAGCAGGCTTCCACACATCTGCTCAGAAAACTCCACCGACTTTAATTACCTGAGAGCAGGATTCCCTAATGTGAACGTTAAATAAAGGCCACCTAGTTTCAGGTGATCAAGATTTAAGATTAGCTCAAATAAAACCTACTTTCTGACTGACTGTCTTAGAGATTTGCTTCTACGTTCCTTCCTAGTTTCATTCCTATCTCTACTCAGAAGGTTTTTATTTACATATATTTACAAAGAGCTATCCAAAACCCACAGGAGTTTAAAAACCTTTCAATCTAATATAACAATAAAAGAAAACGTGATTTTTGAACCTGACTTTATCAAATGTTCAAATGTATCTTTTTGCAGAGACATGGTGAAAATGGGTTTTCATTGTATTTTGTGAAACAAAGAGATAGCCAAGGGTGTCTCTAAAAATCTTTCACTCTTATTTATCAGAAAACGTTAACCTGGCATTATCCCATGCTCAGGTTTAAGCAAATGAACTCAACTTTAATAAAATAATGCCGAATTTTCACACTTTTACATACATGTAATAATATAAATAATCGCCCTGATATTACAAAACTACTTGGTGAGTTTTACGGTCATATCAAGTTATATTTATATCACCTGATGTGTCTGTATTTAACATTGGTGCAGGTTTTAAGGCTTGTATGTGATTATGAAATCAGTATCAACAGTTCCAATATACACACACTCCTATATCTCTGTGTTGAGGTGAATGTAAGTGTCTCTTTCTCTCACCTCGCTGACGTCGATCCCGTTGTTGACGGACCAGGTTGTCTGGAAGCACTCGAGCATGCGTTGCTCGAGGGCTTTGGGCAGCCGGTGCACCCGGATGAAGTCCTTCAGGTCTTTGGTGCGGGTGTGGTAGAGCGAGCGGCGTGAGTACATCCTCTGAATGATGGCCGTCACGTTTCCAAACACCACGGCATGCATCAGCGCTGAGAGAGGAGAGGGGAGGTGATTCACTTTGATACAGATTTAAAAACAGAGGAGTAGAAGCAGAGATAGCAAAAGCACACACATCCTTTACTCAAGTAGAAGTACAGATACTCGTGTTTAGAAATACTCTGGTGAAAGTAGAAGTACTGACTAAACTTCTTTACTCAAGTGAAAGTAAAGAGGCTTTGAAGTGTACTTCAGTAAAAAGTACCCATAACTAGCAGCTGTTTTAAAGAGTACCTGACCTCCCTTTACATTAATAGAACAATAATGTCATTGTTAGCTAATGAATGTTTCCATGCTGAACAACGGCAACATGACAACGTTTCCATTGGTCCCTATTCTTTAGAGAACACCAGGAAATGATGGATACACGGATCATGTTCAAATCAATAGGCACGCAATGACTCTAAAGAATAATGATCACGCCACCAAACACACATTCAAACTAAAGTAGCCTTAGTGATGTCAGTATTGCTCAGTTTAAGATGCTTTAAGCTGCAGATTGGTGAAGTAAGTCCAGTCCAGGCCTATAGACTCAATGCTGTTATCTATCAGTAACATCCCATAATGCCTCTGCACAGCGGGGATCTTCACACAACGTCCTTCTAAGCCCCAAGAAGATAAAGATCATGTGGCTTAAAAGGATTTAGCTGCTCTTAAAATCACTAAGAAGACGGTCTCAAGTGGATCACTGACTCTGCAAGAAGGACTTAACACACTGCTGAAATTGAAATAATCTCCATGTTGAAGAAGACCTTTTGCTTCTAGGGAGAAAATGATGTTCAGGTGTATATCAGTATGTAGTGTCTCTACTTTAAAGAGTCCTCTCCTGCTGATGTTCAGGTGTATATCAGTATGTAGTGTCTCTACTTTAAAGAGTCCTCTCCTGCTGATGTTCAGGTGTATATCAGTATGTAGTGTCTCTACTTTAAAGAGTCCTCTCCTGCTGATGTTCAGGTGTATATCAGTATGTAGTGTCTCTACTTTAAAGAGTCCTCTCCTGCTGATGTTCAGGTGTATATCAGTATGTAGTGTCTCTACTTTAAAGAGTCCTCTCCTGCTTATGTTCAGGTGTATATCAGTATGTAGTGTCTCTACTTAAAGAGTCCTCTCCTGCTGATGTTCAGGTGTATATCAGTATGTAGTGTCTCTACTTTAAAGAGTCCTCTCCTGCTGATGTTCAGGTGTATATCAGTATGTAGTGTCTCTACCTTTAAAGAGTCCTCTCCTGCTGATGTTCAGGTGTATATCAGTATGTAGTGTCTCTACTTTAAAGAGTCCTCTCCTGCTGATGTTCAGCTGTATATCACTATGTAGTGTCTCTACTTTAAAGAGTCCTCTCCTGCTGATGTTAAGGTGTATATCAGTATGTAGTGTCTCTACTTTAAAGAGTCCTCTCCTGCTGATGTTCAGGTGTATATCAGTATGTAGTGTCTCTACTTTAAAGAGACCTCTCCTGCTGATGTTCAGGGTGTATATCAGTATGTAGTGTCTCTACTTTAAAGAGTCCTCTCCTGCTGATGTTCAGGTGTATATCAGTATGTAGTGTCCTCTACTTAAAGAGTCCTCTCCTGCTGATGTTCAGGTGTATATCAGTATGTAGTGTCTCTACTTTAAAGAGTCCTCTCCTGCTGATGTTCAGGTGTATATCAGTATGTAGTGTCTCTACTTTAAAGAGTCCTCTCCTGCTGATGTTCAGGTGTATATCAGTATGTAGTGTCTCTACTTTAAAGAGTCCTCTCCTGCTGATGTTCAGGTGTATATCAGTATGTAGTGTCTCTACTTTAAAGAGTCCTCTCCTGCTGATGTTCAGGTGTATATCAGTATGTAGTGTCTCTACTTTAAAGAGTCCTCTCCTGCTGATGTTCAGGTGTATATCAGTATGTAGTGTCTCTACTTTAAAGAGTCCTCTCCTGCTGAGGTTCAGGTGTATATCAGTATGTAGTGTCTCTACTTTAAAGAGTCCTCTCCTGCTGATGTTCAGGTGTATATCAGTATGTAGTGTCTCTACTTTAAAGAGTCCTCTCCTGCTGATGTTCAGGTGTATATCAGTATGTAGTGTCTCTACTTTAAAGAGTCCTCTCCTGCTGATGTTCAGGTGTATATCAGTATGTAGTGTCTCTACTTTAAAGAGTCCTCTCCTGCTGATGTTCAGGTGTATATCAGTATGTAGTGTCTCTACTTTAAAGAGTCCTCTCCTGCTGATGTTCAGGTGTATATCAGTATGTAGTGTCTCTACTTTAAAGAGTCCTCTCCTGCTGATGTTCAGGTGTATATCAGTATGTAGTGTCTCTACTTTAAAGAGTCCTCTCCTGCTGATGTTCAGGTGTATATCAGTATGTAGTGTCTCTACTTTAAAGAGTCCTCTCCTGCTGATGTTCAGGTGTATATCAGTATGTAGTGTCTCTACTTTAAAGAGTCCTCTCCTGCTGATGTTCAGGTGTATATCAGTATGTAGTGTCTCTACTTTAAAGAGTCCTCTCCTGCTGATGTTCAGGTGTATATCAGTATGTAGTGTCTCTACTTTAAAGAGTCCTCTCCTGCTGATGTTCAGGTGTATATCAGTATGTAGTGTCTCTACTTTAAAGAGTCCTCTCCTGCTGATGTTCAGGTGTATATCAGTATGTAGTGTCTCTACTTTAAAGAGTCCTCTCCTGCTGATGTTCAGGTGTATATCAGTATGTAGTGTCTCTACTTTAAAGAGTCTCTCCTGCTGATGTTCAGGTGTATATCAGTATGTAGTGTCCTCTACTTTAAAGAGTCCTCTCCTGCTGATGTTCAGGTGTATATCAGTATGTAGTGTCTCTACTTTAAAGAGTCCTCTCCTGCTGATGTTCAGGTGTATATCAGTATGTAGTGTCTCTACTTAAAGAGTCCTCTCCTGCTGATGTTCAGGTGTATATCAGTAGTAGTGTCTCTACTTTAAAGAGTCCTCTCCTGCTGATGTTCAGGTGTATATCAGTATGTAGTGTCTCTACTTTAAAGAGTCCTCTCCTGCTGATGTTCAGGTGTATATCAGTATGTAGTGTCTCTACTTTAAAGAGTCCTCTCCTGCTGATGTTCAGGTGTATATCAGTATGTAGTGTCTTCTACTTTAAAGAGTCCTCTCCTGCTGATGTTCAGGTGTATATCAGTATGTAGTGTCTCTACTTTAAAAGAGTCCTCTCCTGCTGATGTTCAGGTGTATATCAGTATGTAGTGTCTCTACTTTAAAGAGTCCTCTCCTGCTGATGTTCAGGTGTATATCAGTATGTAGTGTCTCTACTTTAAAGAGTCCTCTCCTGCTGATGTTCAGGTGTATATCAGTATGTAGTGTCTCTACTTTAAAGAGTCCTCTCCTGCTGATGTTCAGGTGTATATCAGTATGTAGTGTCTCTACTTTAAAGAGTCCTCTCCTGCTGATGTTCAGGTGTATATCAGTATGTAGTGTCTCTACTTTAAAGAGTCCTCTCCTGCTGATGTTCAGGTGTATATCAGTATGTAGTGTCTCTACTTTAAAAGAGTCCTCTCCTGCTGATGTTCAGGTGTATATCAGTATGTAGTGTCTCTACTTTAAAGAGTCCTCTCCTGCTGATGTTCAGGTGTATATCAGTATGTAGTGTCTCTACTTTAAAGAGTCCTCTCCTGCTGATGTTCAGGTGTATATCAGTATGTAGTGTCTCTACTTAAAGAGTCCTCTCCTGCTGATGTTCAGGTGTATATCAGTATGTAGTGTCTCTACTTTAAAGAGTCCTCTCCTGCTGATGTTCAGGTGTATATCAGTATGTAGTGTCTCTACTTTAAAGAGTCCTCTCCTGCTGATGTTCAGGTGTATATCAGTATGTAGTGTCTCTACTTTAAAGAGTCCTCTCCTGCTGATGTTCAGGTGTATATCAGTATGTAGTGTCTCTACTTTAAAGAGTCCTCTCCTGCTGATGTTCAGGTGTATATCAGTATGTAGTGTCTCTACTTTAAAGAGTCCTCTCCTGCTGATGTTCAGGTGTATATCAGTATGTAGTGTCTCTACTTTAAAGAGTCCTCTCCTGCTGATGTTCAGGTGTATATCAGTATGTAGTGTCTCTACTTTAAAGAGTCCTCTCCTGCTGATGTTCAGGTGTATATCAGTATGTAGTGTCTCTACTTTAAAGAGTCCTCTCCTGCTGATGTTCAGGTGTATATCAGTATGTAGTGTCTCTACTTTAAAGAGTCCTCTCCTGCTGATGTTCAGGTGTATATCAGTATGTAGTGTCTCTACTTTAAAGAGTCCTCTCCTGCTGATGTTCAGGTGTATATCAGTATGTAGTGTCTCTACTTTAAAGAGTCCTCTCCTGCTGATGTTCAGGTGTATATCAGTATGTAGTGTCTCTACTTTAAAGAGTCCTCTCCTGCTGATGTTCAGGTGTATATCAGTATGTAGTGTCTCTACTTTAAAGAGTCCTCTCCTGCTGATGTTCAGGTGTATATCAGTATGTAGTGTCTCTACTTTAAAGAGTCCTCTCCTGCTGATGTTCAGGTGTATATCAGTATGTAGTGTCTCTACTTTAAAGAGTCCTCTCCTGCTGATGTTCAGGTGTATATCAGTATGTAGTGTCTCTACTTTAAAGAGTCCTCTCCTGCTGATGTTCAGGTGTATATCAGTATGTAGTGTCTCTACTTTAAAGAGTCCTCTCCTGCTGATGTTCAGGTGTATATCAGTATGTAGTGTCTCTACTTTAAAGAGTCCTCTCCTGCTGATGTTCAGGTGTATATCAGTATGTAGTGTCTCTACTTTAAAGAGTCCTCTCCTGCTGATGTTCAGGTGTAATATCAGTATGTAGTGTCTCTACTTTAAAGAGTCCTCTCCTGCTGATGTTCAGGTGTATATCAGTATGTAGTGTCTCTACTTTAAAAGAGTCCTCTCCTGCTGATGTTCAGGTGTATATCAGTATGTAGTGTCTCTACTTTAAAGAGTCCTCTCCTGCTGATGTTCAGGTGTATATCAGTATGTAGTGTCTCTACTTTAAAGAGTCCTCTCCTG